ATATATATATATATATATATATATATATATATATTTACATGCGTATGTAAACATTGAATTCTGAATAAAAGCACCACAACAAGATTATTACCATTAAAAAGCTGAGATAAATTATATCTTGCTATATTTGTTATTTCTGCAAATAGTCTAATCCTATTTTTTTAAACAAAATATGCAAAAGCTTAATGAATGGCAAGTGAAAAAGTTTAAAGCATAGGTAGGCAGTCTAATATCATTCAGGTAATATAATTCTCATAAATCATAACACTATACATAGAGATTTTGATTATGGAAATGTTTAATTATGTAGAAAATATAGATTGCCTACCTCTGATTTAAACTGTTCTGGAAAGGAAGTAACATTTCAGTGATCAAAGTATATATGATATCCATTTTTATTTGTTTCTTTTTTAAAGGATGCAATTAAGATTATGAATTTTCTGAGTGTGAAATAGGGCTGGATTTTCTGAATATATTAAAGTCTCTGCTAAAGTGTTTTTTGTAATGTTTTTGTTTAAAATGTAACATTTTGATTGTATTGAATTATGTCAGTATATTTTTCCTTCTCAAAAAAATAAACTAAAAGTATATTCTACTAAATTTAAATATTGTGACTACCAATATGTAGTATGCCTAATCCACCAACTGAAAGTAATGTTTTGATCTGTTGCTAGAATTTTAAGTAGGCTATGATACAAAGATTTCATTCATTTTGCCTTTCTTCACATTTATATATAGCATGAGTACACAAGAAATATAAGCACAATAACTACTACTCCTGGGAATTTTAAAAAATCCAATACTCTCCTTGAAACATGTGAACAGCACAGATGCACAATGCTGCAGTTTATGCCCCTCTCTCAAATACTGAAGCAATTTACAACAAATATTTCATATTTGAATCATCATTTAAAACAATGTAGAAAATAGTATATTAATATTTTGTATAAATTATACAGTTTCTGATTATGAAGGATTTATTCACTTTCTCTAAAGTATCAGTAATCAATAGTGCATTAATCTTAAGTATCAAACAAAATTGTTTAAAATATGAAGGAACTTGGATGCCAGTCATGTAAATCGAGAACTGTATGTGTCTGCAAAGAGAAGGCTAAATGTCCAACTGCTCTTGAAGCAGGAGAGAATACCAAGAGTCAATTTTCATTATGATAATTATTTGGTGAGTTTCCAATAAAACTGTAAGCTACCTCAAACAATAGGACCAAAGCAGTTCTTGTTTAGAATTTACTAGAATTGTTCATCTTCATTCCTTCATAGAAATAACAACACTTTTATTTGTTACCTTAAAAAAAAAGAGCTCTAGAAAATGGTTTTTAAAGAGTTGTCCTTGCAGATTTCTCCTTTTCTGAAAGGAGACTTGCCCGGAAAGCTAAGCTTGTGCAATTGAGTGGGTAGATGGGAGTTTCAGAGTAAAGGTACTGGCAGTAGTTCCGGCATGGTTATCAAGGTGTGATCCGATATCTTTACACAAGATATTTTCTCTCAAGAATTGAACATATTTATGATTTATGTGGCTGTCAGTTGTGGACAATTTCAGCTACTCATAGTGCTTCCAAATACTCTTTAATGCAATTAAAGTTCAAAGACAACGAACACTTACGACTTGTGATTTTGAGGAAAAAGCATTGACTTTGATAATTTTATGAGATTCTATATAACGAATAATAATGCAATTCTTAAAACAGTTTTATGGTATTCTGTGTTAAGAATAATAATGCAGTAAATAACAATGGAAATTTATTCTTTGGGGCCTAATTATTTGAGGGACAATTCTGTCTATTTCAGGGTGGCATTGATAAGGCAATAAGATTGGCATGAAAGGGCTCGGACAAGCTTTTCATACACTATTCCCAACTAAGATTATTACACCCCTACTTTATCCATCCCCAGGAAAGCAATTAAAACCTTCCTTTAACTATACCTGCCAAGTTGCAAATAGTAAGAATTTGAATTATTTTTTATTTACATGCTTGTATTTGCTATACATTTTAGGTGCTTTTCAGGTAGAAAATTGGGATAGAAAATAAATAGAATAACCAGCCTGAGGAAACACACAGGCTCACTCCTTTGCCTGACTTGAATCTGTTTCCCCTGCTATTTTTTTTAAAGATAATTAGCCTTTGGCCATTTTTACCCTTGAGCACCTACAGTAGAATCATTTTCCAGGCACAGAGTTTTTCTTATGAGCTACAGTACAGATAGATAAGACAAGGAAGGACTCTGTTCTCCCTCCACCTCCACATATACACATTTCTCCTCTTGTAAAATCATTTAATCCGTACTTTCAGTTCTATACAAATGAAATGAACATGAATAATATGTGCCCTTTTTTATTTCTAATAGCCTGACACTAGATGGCAATATTGCAACAAAACAAGTGTTCATCCTTGTGTTTCCCCCTAATCACTGCATAAAGATGCTCCAGTAAATATTTTCCTGTGACATGTCTGGATGGCTTTGCCTCTTCTCATCCATAGTCCTTAGCAGAATCAGCTTCAAGTCCTCTTTTGCAGTTTCAGCTTTCAATTATTATTCTCCCTCTCCTCCTGACACAACGTTTGCCATGGACCTAATCCAATTTAGGATGCCTCACAGATGATGTCATTGGTGATGCAGGTAAGAGGATGGGATTTGTCAACTCCTATTGGTCACTTTAAGCTGCTGCCTTCCTCCAGTCCCTGGCCATTGTCCTCCAGAGCCATTCTGTTTCTGGAAAT